GGGGGGCTGAATAGTTTAAGACATATGCTGTAATTGTCTGATGTATGTTACAGGTGTGTTTGGTCTGACATTGATTGCTAATAAGCTGTACAGGCTCAGGAAGATTGAGCTGGAGGAACAGTTCATCATGGTAAGACAGAGTATGATACTTTGAAATGAACTGTCAATCAAATTCTGTTTTTGATTTCAATATATTTTAATATGAAATTAAAATCTATCTGAGTACATGCCAACTTTCTAATAATTACATTCAGTGAAACTAAAGAGTTTTACAATGTCACTGATTAGAGTTATTGATGAAAGGATTTATGTTACAAAATATGTCAACTTTCAGGCATATGGTGGACTTAGAGGAGCCGTGTGCTTTTCTTTGGTGGCCATGTTGAATGAGAACGACGTGCCCCGCTTCAGAGCTTTCCTGACTACTACACTGGTTGTTATCATATTTACAGTATTTATACAGGTACGGGAAGCTACACGTACTAGCAGTGTTAGAAATTAAGGCTGGACTGTCTGCCTGGGGCAGACAACTTTAAGAATGGGCAGAGAAGTTTTCCCACCCGGCAGGCATTCTAGCCAGCTAATTTCCAAGATGGCTGAACTTTCGGTCCAGCAACTTATTTTCCTAAGAGGCAAACACTGCGTACTAGTATATTAAAATGGCATATCTGAAACCATCCATTTCCTGCCCCTCTTCTCCCACACAAATTATAAATAAATAGTTTTGGGCACTTGACATACTTTTATGAAGGTTTTTGATCTCCCAAACACCATTGGAGCACCTTTCGATATGATGTTGTTATGTTCTCTATTGACAAACAAGTCTAGTAATAAATTTAAAAAAAAAATGTAATCATCTTCATATGCTTATAAAAATATGTATTGCATTTAATTATTGGAATGAGATGAATATTAAATATCAAATTATTTATTTTGCAGGGTGGTACCATCAAGCCACTGGTGAAATTGTTACAGATCAAAAAGAAGAAAAATAAGGTTGTGAGCATGAGTGAAGAGATTAATTACCATGTAAGTTTTAGGTCTCCAAAATAACCCCCCCCCCCTCTCTCTCTCTCATGTAAAAGATTAGATTAAAGTAAAGGGATAGAACAATTCTCCATGACTTCTTTAAATAAGGAAAAAGGTGAGAACTCTATCTGCTCTGTAAAACCATACTGTAAACTTAAGCATGTTGTAACAAATACTGAATACTGCTTCATATCTGTAATGTAAGTATCCTGAATTAGTAGCAGAAGAAGTAGAAAATTAATAAGTTATATTTGAGATAAAGTTTTTATAGTCAGAGGTTGGATATAATGGCAAGACTAGCACCCTCTCCTGGGGGGGGGGGGGGGGGGGGTAAGACCGCTTATGTAAAGCCAGCGTTATATGGAAGAGATAACATTTTGGGTATTGTCACTCTCTTACCTTAACTATGGTGACGTCATGGGTATGAAACAATTGTATCACTCCAGGTGACAGACCATGTTCTAGCTGGTATTGAGGAGATCATGGGAACTCATGGTGATCACTGGTTGAGGGTAAGTATCACACCTAACACATTCTGTCACATTTTGCTGTCGCATCCAACACATTTAGTTGTCCATGCATCTCGCCTATCACATTTCAGCACAATTTACCTGTTTCAGTGACATAAACCATTCCACATTTACCCATTGTCATTTTTTATTCAAACAGGTTATTCACTTAATTGCTGTAGCTTTAAATTTAATGCTCCATTTTGAAGCACATTTTAGGAGCAGTTCATCTTCAGTGGGAAATATGAAAACAGGGAAAGGTTTTATTTCATCAGTATTCTATTCATGGATCTTTGTTTGTATAAGGGAAATTGTATTTCGCTTTTCTCAGGAAAGTGTCAATAGATTGGACTTGCAGTACTTAAAGAAGTGGCTTCAGAACAATCCCCAGAGACATGATGAACAAATCATGGAATTGTTCCAGGAAATAGCTCTAAGGTATGAAATTTTACTAGCTTTATACATTATAATGAAATTAAAAACTCTAAGATGGGGTATTTTATTAATATAGATGATTATGAAAGGAGCATATAAAAAGATAACTATGAAATATACCTTAAAAGTACTGTAGGGGTTTATGATAATCCAGATACCAAAAATGAGTTTTTCCTACATTTAAGTAAACAATAACTAATTACCCCCTAACAGCTTCAGTAGGCATGCCAGACATCAGAGCTACCTAAGCTGAGTGCATTTTAGCAAGAAACCCCTCTGCAGCGGGAAGATTCTGCTAGATCGATCTAGGTGTGGGAATGGGGTCTTAGATTAGATGTAAGTAATAAAGTCACCAGGCTGTATTGAACAGCTCAAGTTTTGACAACAGATCTCTGTGTTTTCTCTTTCAAGGCAGCACTATGAGAACGTTGCAGGAACAGAGGCAGCCAAGAGATGGGCAAGCAGCATCGATATTGCCCCAGAATTGTAAGTTTTATTTCACTGCTTTAGATAGATATATAAATTTAGTACATGTTTGCCATTGTTCTGTGAGAAAGTGCTTTCACATGCGTGGAACAGAGAATTTTGTGTTGTGTGGATATGGGAAAAAATCTTAACTGTATAGCAACAGTTGTTTAAGTTTTTAATGTTAATCAAATCAACAATAGTATTTAAGGTAAGTTCAGAGTATTGCAGTGTTTTCAGTAGCTTTGTGGTTTATAGTAATCATGTTGGAAGTGATGTTTCCAGTTAAGTAAGTCCAACCCAACTTGATACAGTCCTGGGGGTCAGGAGGACAATTTACCATGATATGTTCATCATGGGAAGCTAATCTATAGCATGTTGCTAGCGCTTCTGTAATTACAGTAACAGTGGGTGGATAAAAGGAAGGATTAGATTAGCTTGTGGGGAGATGATCTTAATTAGACAGATTGCAGGGTTGATAAAATATCATGTATTTTTGCTTTGGAGACTAGATTAATGCCCTATTATGCTATTACCTACTAGTAGTTAAAATTTAAATTATACATTCAAGATGCTTTCTTAGCAGTTTATATCAATTAAAGGTAAATCACCACTTACCAAGTTTCTTACAGGAAGAAATATAAACTCAAAACATCTTCTTTAAAAAAAAGAAGCTTGCTCCTTTATCATTTAATTTTTGTAGCATAAATCATTTGTAAACATAACTGATTATTGGCATAATTCTTATCATAAAAAATTCCTTTTGTTGCCTGTAGTGAAGGGGATGAACCACCAAAGTCTCCGTATGTATCAGAGAACAGGTTATTTTTACTTTTGAATTGCTTTTCAAACCTTATTGACTTATACCTTCTTGGTGCATACTGTAACCCAAACTTTCAGAATGTCCCCTTTGTTATCAGTTGTTAGGATGCTTTGACATCATCTTTCAGTGTGCTGAAGGGTAACATCATGGAATTTTATGCTTGACATAAGCATTTCATGTTTTGCATGTACCAGTAGGTGACATCATCAGTTTTTGTGGCCATGTTGATGACATCATCAGTTGTTGAGCTCATTTGTATGACATCAATAGTGGATGTTTATAATCATGATGTGAAATACTATGATATCGGTATATTGTCACCAACTGAAATTCTTTGTGAATGACATAAGTTTAGATGTGCTCATCTGTGTTATGTCACCACTTATTGTGTACTTTTGTATGATGTCATCATATTGTGCTCATCACTTACAGAACTTTAGAGCCCCTTGACTTTGTTATCCAGAAAACTGAGAATGCTGGACACAAGCACAACTTGGGCATGGCAACACTAATCCGCTTTTATAAATGTCATTTCTTATGCAGTCAAAGTTATAACTTTTTTTTTCTCTCGACCATCTTTTTCAATTTATGTGATGGTTACATAATCTGTTTTGATCATGTGAGTTCATACATCATTCCTTTTGTATTTTTAAGTCCACTTTGGTGCTTAAAGGGCTTGGTATGTTAAAGAGAGGTTTGGTTATGGAGCCACTGTCTGCTGGCTTGCTTTGGACTGTTATACAGCAAGGGGGGTGTTACACACAAAGAATGTGAAGAATGGATTTTGGGCACTTTGGTAGAACCTGCATTTAGAGAGTGGATATGTTGTTACAATGCTTGAACTTGATATTTTTTGTAAATCTGAACAGTAACCCAGAAACCTACTGATGGATTGAGACTTGGCTATTGGGCTTTAAAGTATTATCTAAGTAAATGTATTTGCCACCAGACTAGAAATAATTTCACTGGAACCGGCAGGACCTTGCATCGCTGATAACCCAACTCGGTTTAATAGGCTTTTCATGGAAAATTTGTATCTTACAGAAAGCTATCATTAATAATGCCTTTTGATTGGAGCATGTTTTTATTTTTAAAAAATTAGCCCTGAGTACGGAAGCATGGAGGCTTTTGATTTTAAATATAGATTTGAGTTCATACAATAATTTTGATAAGTTTCACTGTTAATTGGTGAATTGTATTGTAATGGAAGGTATTATGGGACAAATGTACGTGTAGTAGTCATTATGTTTATAATATTTTATATGTATTGTTGTCTTCATTATTTTAATTCCATCCTTTTTTTTTTTTTCAAATAGGGCATTGAGTAAATATACATGATTGAGGCCATATATTCACCTGAAAAGTCACATAAATTATACAGTCACTTTTGATGGCACAACAAGTCACAATCAGACATGAATGTTGTCACAGCTAACACATTCAGTCACATGACAGAATTGACCAATTGAAATATAAGAATTTTCCTTTCAGGTCTCCAGAAGCTTTGAAAGATCTTTTACATGAATACATGCACGTTACAACGGCCATATTGCACAGAACAACAGACTTGGAAAAAAGGTTAATTTTCCCAGACTTTAACCAAATGTGAAAACCTCCACACATCGGTTTCATGTGTGATGTTTTTGTGTTATAATTATTATTTTCAATAATACCAAGAAATGAAAAGCAGAATTTGGACTTGATATAGAAACCATACTGAGCTCTAGACTTACGACACTTGCTTGGCTATCAAATTGTTTTGTCACATTTGTCAGAACAATTTATGCCCACGCTGATGGGAAAAAAGTGTCAGAAAAATTTTATCACTGATTTGAGGAAATCAGTGATAACATTTTACTAAAGAAATATTCCTAGAGCTGCAGTGATCCCCGAAAATGTGGTACGTTATATCGTTATATGCATGTTGAAAGAGCAGCGTCCCTGTTATGGCTACATTGTAACAAATGCCTCAATATCAGTCCCTAATGATACCCTATTGATATCTTTCTTATTAATTATTGTCATTGCATGCCCAGGTGGAGGTTAATTCCAGAATACCCTTGTGTTTGAGGTCTAGATACCACAGTTAATAAACTTTTTTGATCAGTTTTCAGATTTATTTGGGTGGTGCTTGTGGTTTGACAAGAGGCTTTGGGTGCAGATCAATATTGTAATAGGAGAAATTGCCACTGGGTTGCTGGTTGAAGGTTGTCAACTTTTTCATGGGATCAGATTATAAAAACTATTGAAATAATTGTGTAGTCACGTGGTGAAGGTAGCTCAGTTGTAATCGGCCATTCTGTATGTGTGCACAGTGTGTATGTGTGTTTGTGTGTGTGTGTGTGTGCAATTACAGGTCCCTGCAGATTAAGGCTATTAGGCTTCATCTAGGATACCAGTCTTCAGAATTGCATACTTATTGTATTTTTTCATTCATTTGACAAGTTCATTCAAGATTTATGCCATGGAAGGGCCTGCAGTTTAAACACTGTTGTGATAAGGTCACCTTGACCTTTAACTGAATTGTTACGATTATGATTTCACTGATCTTCACCGATCTTGGCAGGTGTGGTGTCAGTGTAAGACCATGGTGAGAATGAAGAGGGGAGGGTGTGATATGACTTATTTTTAATTGTGAGACTGCATTCTTGGTATGAAGAAAGTTGCCCAAGTCTCAGAGAAATAGGCCCTTTTCAATACTGCTTTAGCTTATGAGAAAGGAGTGCATATTTTGTATGCCAGGGATTTGGAAATGTTCGGTGAGGTCGGACTGGTTGGCAGGAAGTAATATATGGCCAGTGCTTTCAGTGGTTAAAAAGAGCATCATAAAAAGGTTGTAGATTAGGCAACTTGTATAAAATGGGGCTGTGGTTTAGACACAAATGAATATGAATAAAAAATATTTTTTACCCAATTTTACTTGATTTTTTTTTCATTTGTGATAGGAAATTGGTGGTTATATCTAAAACTAGTATTTTATCCAGTCTTAACCTTTATAGTCCAATGAGATAGAAAAAAATAAAACCACATAAATTTCGTGTTGATATACAAAGTGAAAATGTGAGGAATACATTAAGGAAGCAAAGAAAAAATAGACTTATGATTGTTCATTTAGAGTATTTTTGAGTTTGGAAAACATAGAGTGATGGTTGGTAAGTAAAAGAAAATGACGGAATGTGTCACAAAAAATTGTTAATTATTTTTTTTTTACCTGAATGCTGTATGTGGTCCCTTCAATCCAGTTACTTATCAAGTATGATAAATTCATTAAATTTTCTTTTTGTCTGTTATCCTTGACAGCTTTCTCAGTTTCTTTTGATAAAATTGAGATATTGCTGTGCTGGAAGTGCTTGTACCCAAGACCCCATTCCCATAGATATTTAGATCGACCTATCCCCCTGGGGAGTCTCACTAGATTGGTGTCAGCTTAACAGGCTTAAATGTCTGTCCCGCCTACTAAAAGCTGAAAGGGGGTAATTTACTATGGTGCACGTTTGGCTGACAGCAATTTAGCGTGAACCCCCAGGGAGTTAGGTCGATCCAGATAGATCGATCTAAATCTCTGGGAATGCAGTCTTAAATATTACCTTTCATGTAAACTTTATACGACCCCACCCCACCCCTCCCGCAACTCCCAATTTAAAACTGTCCATTCATGGCAATTTTACCCTTTACATTATATCCTTTAACATTTTATGAATAAGTTATACATGTAACTGTTTTTATATTTTGTCACGTACATATTAACTTTTTTCCCAAAATTTTCTACATGTGTTTGAGAAGATCATTAGGATGGACAAAGTATATTCCAAAAAAAATTTTAAATAGATGGTTAATGTTTTTTTTTTTTTCCATAAGGCATTCTGGTGAGGCCACTATTTTGCATGTTGTGAGTTATTTCATGAAGGAAATCCCAATTGAATTTGTTACCTTGTATCCATGTGCATGTTTGCTTAATGTCCCATAACATCATGTTGATTTTTTTTTTTTTTTTTCAGTTTTATAACTTGATGTGTTTGTTTGTGTTTGATTTCATAAATGGCAAATGTCTTATTTAATTGCTTGATAATATTGGTATTAATATGTATAAATGTTGAATTATGATGATGCACTGACATTAATTTATTTTCAATTTTTTTTTATTTTCAGTGATAGAGAGAAGCTTGCTCAAAGGATTAGAAGGTAAGAAGTAAATTAATGGATTTTTCTCTTCACAACTAGAAATACTGTAATACTAGTTACCATCTGTGTTGTATCTGCTTTGTATAGTTTCTTTGGTGTGAGACTGCCATTCACCTGATTTTATTTAAACTAGATCATGAGGATTTTATTAGGTCCTTGATTGTCATAAGATTGTAATTAGCCATTAATTTGAATTCTAACATTATAATTTAAGAAATGATGATTGTTATTGAAATGACAGAGAGAAAGGGAGATTCTTAGTAAGTCTTTAAGTTAAGTCGGGTTAGTGTCAGGAGTTTGTGTCTTTATGAAAGGTTGACTTCTCATATTCTCCCACTGTGAAATAAAATATTAAGCAATTTTTAAAAAAAGTTTTTCTTTGTTTAGGTTATTAAGATTGCATTAATTTCTTTGAATTTTTTTCGTTGTGGTTACACAATTTAAGTACATACTCATTTATGCCTTTATCAGTTCATTTAGTTCAAGTATTAACTAATTTGTTTATTCATTCGTTCATATATTATTCAATCATTTCTCGCTTGCAGTGGGTCTGGGGGATCCCTAGATTTCAATCACGAACTTCACGTGCCAACTGTACCTCGTCCCTCCCTCCCCTTCTTGGCAGTTAGAAGGTACAGTGTATTCGGGGATGTACAGGCACCACAGTTTGCATGGGTGCTGCCAATTGGTTCCCCAAACCATGTATCTCTGTGTATTAAAATGCAGCACGGAGAATGGTCCTTCGAGGATTAAAAATTTTCTCCCAACCTATGCACATTAGTTAGAGTTGTTAGAAGCATTTTAGGTTGTGATTTCAGGCATGTTTTTTGGCCACTGTATACATTTGTCTGTCAGAGAATTATTGTTATTATTATTATTTTAAAGGGTTTAAGTTTGTATAAATTCTGTATCAATTTTGCTATATTGAATTTGAATTA